AGACCTGGCCTGCCACAATCCCAACTGTCAATTTGTGCAAGATTTCTATCATGCTTATATATTTATTTAGCATGAGAACCGTAGGGAGATGGGCCATCGTAATCTTTCTGGCTACTTCCTGCCGAGATGGGGGTCATCGTTATGGGGCACGGAAATGCAGCACTGGAGTGGGAGAGGTCTGTTTGTTCCTAGTAACACTCTGTTTTGGGGGCTTAGAGGAGGCGCCTGCTGAAACACAATAGCATGCCACAGCAACACATAGTAATAGGCTGCTGCTGGTTTTCCTCAGGTTTCAGTTTCTAGTCTTCAGTTCACACGGCTTTAGGAAAAATGGGGAAAAGAAGAAGAAAAAGAAAAAAACGGAAAACATTGTTTTGGAGGCCTGTAGGCAGAAAGATCAGAATTTAATCCAAACTGTAGAAAATAATAAAAACTGAAAAACATCAAGACTAGAATTTAACAACAGGTGTACTGTGGCTTTTGAAACATAACTGTTCTCTCTCCAGTTTCTCATTTTTATTAAAAGACAAATTATGGTAGGACCAATTTGCTTTATTATGCTTGGCCAGATTAGAAAGAGCAGCAAGAATAATTATTTGTTACATAGGCTTTTTAAATTGGCTTTGTTGCAACTTTGTTCCATAGCAGGAATCTGAGATAAGACCTTTTTACAGCTGAGCTCAGCCATGGATTTATACCATCAAATATCTATGAGTTGGGTGAATTCCTCTCCTCTTGAGGTTTCAAGATAAGTTGGGGTTCCTTGGGTTATCAGAAATTGGTATTCTTTACTTATCACAGATCAGAAATGCTGTATGAGAACTGTGTACACAGAATAGGGGGGCAATTTCCCAAGGGCTTTACAAGTCAAGTTTGATTCCTTAAAGGAAAGTATACCATTGCAGTCAAAGCCTTGGTGAAATAACCAGTTTTTGTGTCCTGTTACAAAAGAAGACAGATTCTTATTGCACTAATGCAAATAACTATATTGCCATAAAATGAGAACACTCACAAATAGTTTTCAAATTCCAGACAAATCAGGTAGAGAGAAACAAATATGCTACAAATTTTTTTCATGGGGCTATACTAAATTGTTAAAAGCTGTCAATAGCTCAAAGGAAAGTTTCCTCGACTCTGAAAAGCAAAACAAAGGATTAGCAATGTTTTAAGCAAAATATTGAAAAGATCACTCCATTTACCTATTAGGGAGTTCAATTCATGCAGTTAATTTCTGTCCTGCTTGATATTAATGAACATGGACAAAAGTCATAAACAGATTTTTCACCAAGCAGATACACACATGGCAAACAAGCAACTGTAAAGATGTTCAATGTGCATCAACAAACACACTGAATGTTTCTCTTCTATTCTGAATGTTTTCCCTCTATTCTGATGCTACAGTCCCCAAAGTTATCAGAAGGCTACATTCAAGGGCACCTGTTAGAGCTTTATAGCTGATTATAAAACCACCTTCTGAAGAGGACTAAAACAAGACAAACAATTACTTATAGATGATGAAAAGTTTTAGGGTAGCCATAGTTAAAGATACAATTGACAAGGATATGTGTTACCTCTGTGGTATGCGATAATTTAACGTAATAATTATAATTATTACTGATAACATACACTAAGATATATCAGAATTATAGGAGTCTCCCATGATTTTGGAATACATACCAATAACCTATTTATACAAATATAACCCAAAGAAGGCCAAACACCATTTCATATTTGATAATGCTTCCTGTATAATTTTTATACCAAATAAGCCAAATTTCACCTTTACATTAGTAGAGACATATTTACCCAATTTTAATGTTTGATCATAAGGTAAGATTTGTATAGATCTTTTTATGACCCTAAACTAGTTTTGTTAAAGAGCAGGTTAGTGCTCTAAGAGAAATCCATTGAGCTTTTATTTTAATAATTTATAGGAAAACTGGATGACACCCCTTTAATTTTAGCCAAAATGTTTAAACACAGAATTTCCCTTACAATCAACCTTCCACAACTTTCTTAAACTTTCATCTTTATTTTATGCAACTTAAAACAATCCTTTAACCTTTTAATCTAGGCAAAAATCCACATTCTCATGCCTTCTTATAATCTTTTTACAGAAAGTATATTTAACTTTCCTTACACACCTTGCATATAAAACTGTTTCTTCAATAGTCTCAAATACATGTTACAGCATTAACTATTAGCAATCTTTACTTTTGGCGAAAACCTTCTTAAATTTGGGATTTTAATTATGTACTAGGTGTGGAGCCTAGGACTTAGACAGGAATGCAGATAAGGTCTGACATATTCCAGCATTTAACTCCACGTGTCCCAGGCCTCACCTAGCTGTAAAGCAGGCAAGTTGTACAGCTAGAGTCATAAAGCATCTAGGGAACCTAATTACCTTTACATTGTGAAATATTTCTTGCATAAATTCCTTTTTATAAATTCTTTCATAACTTACACAGGCAAGCTATAACATGCCTCAACTTTCTGACTTGTCCTAAACATTCTCTTTTTCAACAACCAGTTATTTTACTTTAGGAATAGGATTTACCATACAAGATCCTTTTTTATATAAAATCTTTTTTTCTTTAATGCCTTTTGCATAGCTAGGGGCATGGCTAATTTCATATGTCCCCAGGCATATGACACGTCCCCAGGCCTTATCTAGAATTTAACACTCCAAAATAAATCAAACAATTTTTAAGTCAAAGAAGCAGTTTATGACCTACAGTATTTAGTAAACCTATTATTTAACCTGCATAATTTCGACCAAATGTTTACATTTTTGAAGATATTTTTATTTTACCAATAAGCTTTATGCTCTCTTTATTTTTGTAACTTTCTTTAGATCTCTCTTATTTCCTGGTTTATTTTAGCTTGTTTTATATATAACCTTCAAATAATCTTTGAGTTAGACAAAAATTATTTACCCTTGAAAAAAGACATATTTTTTAGAAAGAATATTTTCCTACAATATATTTTTATTGGAAATTACCCAAATAATGAAATATTTGTTGCTTAATTTAACTTTAGATTCTAAATTATGATGGTTGTTTATGAGTATTTATTCCATTACATTTATCTACTAATTTATGAAAACTGTGATAGTCATCATTTAAAGTTACAAAACCACCATTGCAAAATTATAGCTGAGACAGTGAAAATGATCTGACCTAACTGATTCCATCTTGCTTCTAACATCCAATCTGTTCTTGTTCATTAACTTAGTTTATAGTTTAGCTTTGAAACAAAGTTGATAACAGTCCTTTCCCAGAACAAACTTCCTTCATGTCTGTGGACTAGTCTGCTTAAGGCCACAAGGTTAGAAGTTTGGGTATTTTACTAAATAATTCAAGATGTAGCTACCTTCATTAAGCCAATATTAATGTTTTGTTTATGAAAAATTACACAAGCAAAGATCATTTTGTTTTGAGCTGAGTTATAGTTGTGTAGCCTCTATGCCAAATTCTGACACCTTAAGTACTTGGCAGAGGGAAGTATGAAATTACCCGATCAATAAATACAAACAAAAATGTATGTTGGCACTCTTAAGGCAGTTCTAATATGACTTTACCAATAATTTTTAAAGCTAGCTTATTTATTAAAGATTTTACTTGTTACATAAACTTGAAAAAGCTTTTGACCAGTTTTTCCTTTTTTCTGTTATTTAAGTGCTTTTATTTTTCTTTGAGCTAATTAATTAGAACCCTTTTACATATTTTCAGCAGTAAAACATGGTGTACACAAGACATAAATATGTAGACACATCAGGTATACCAACAGAAGTACCTTTTATAGACTCATAAGACCTCCTTTTTCCTATCTTAGGCTTGTAAACTCTTAACAACCTGGTTTATTACTCTGGAAGTTGTCAGCCAAATATCCCTAAATCTGCTTATGAGGGAAACAACTCTTAGGTGACACAGCGAAAAAGCCGGGTGGTGCTAGAGGAAGAGTCAAGATAAACACCAGATCAAACATAAAATTATAGAAATTTATCATAGGATTGTATGAGGAGATTAACTTTATTTTTATTTATTTATTTATTTTTTTGAGAAGGATTTTTGCTTTTGTTACCCAGGCTGGAGTGCAGAGGCTCGACCTCAGCTCACCACAACCTCCACCTCCTGGGTTCAAGCAATTCTCCTGCCTCAGCCCCCCAAGTAGTTGGGACTACAGGCGTGGGCCATCATGCCCAGATAATTTTTGTATTTTTAGTAGAGACAGGGTTTCACCATGTTGGCCAGGATGGTCTCGATCTCTTGACCTCATGATCCACCTATCTTGGCCCCCCAAAAATTAACTTTATTTAGATATTGACTACCTATATTTTAACTGGATCTTTGAGCTCTGAGCAAAGCCCACACTGAATCCTGGGTTTTCAAAAAGGGAAAATTATTATGAGGCTAGACCATGTGATGCATTTACAAAGCACTTAATTTTTTTTTTCCAAACAAAGACATTTCTAAGTATCTAAATTACATCTTTTCTTAAAACTCCCAGAGTAGCTTCTGTTGTAATAGCTATTAATGAAGAAAACGGAGTTCAGCCAACTGAGAAAAAAAAAAAATTTTTGCTTAAAAAGACAAGGTCCTAGGCCAGGCTTGGAGTCTCACATCTGTAATCCCAGATGTGAGAGACATTATTCATTCATTCACTTTGGGAGGCTGAGGTGAGCGGATCACCTGAGGTCAGGCGTTCCGGATCAGCCTGGCCAACATGGTGAAACCTGGTCTCTACTAAAAATACAAAAATTAGCTGAGCGTGGTGGCAGGTGCCTGTAATCCCGGCTACTTGGGAGGATAAGGCAGGAGAATCGCTTGAACCCAGGAGGCAGAGTTGAAAAAAGGCAAGGTCCTAGAAGAGAAATAAACAAAAACAAAAACAAAACATGAAACATGAAGGCCTTCATATACACATCTTAGATCTTAGCTTTTAATTAAGCTGACTTTTAACCATTGAACTCCTAAAATAAATATTTTTCCTTCCCAGAGATCTGTCAGCAGGAATGAACCCAGCTCCTCCCATTTTCAAGTTTACATGGTATCAAAGGAGTAAGACAGATACACAAGTGAAGACAAATTTTGGACAACACAAGGGGAAGTGCAGTCGGTCAAAACAGACTCAAAACCAGCCCCAAACCTGATCTCAACCAAAATGCAAAGCAAGTGTATGAGCAAGCCTTACCGCTTCCCTTGGCGGTACCAGACAAATGGCCTAACAAGCCCAGACAGGAGTAAGATCCAGTGACGTCATCCTTTGAGCGTGTCCGCTCCCGGTCTCAGTTCTTCTCCAATAGTGAAAGGGATGTGCAGTTTTGTGCAGATGCTGAGATCTCCCTGAAGACTGTCTTGTGGCAAGCCGCTGGCCCCTGAATGCAGCACTGTCCCCATCTCTCCTTGCTGGTGCGCCAGATTTTGTTCCTGCACCAAACTGAAGGACGGGCTGCTATTTCTCATGACCCAACAGCGACATGCAGATGAACTGGGGAGGAAGAGACTTTTTATTTCCACAGCTGGTTACAGGGAAAAGGCTTGAAAATTATTGCCAGACCAACTCAAAATTACAGTTTTCCAGAGCTTATATACCTTGTAAGCTATATGTCTATGTGTTAAGAGTGCATTCGTCTAAAGATCTCAGTGATTAACGTCTTTGAATCTACAACTAAGGTCTGAGTCCTTCCTCTGGAGCCTGAGTAAGTTTACTTCATCTAAATGGGCCCAGGTGCTGGGGTGATTACCCTTATCCTGTCTCCTGCTAAATCACAGAGGTGTGGGGAGTTCCTTCAGACACTCCATAAACTTGTTTGTGGAGGCCTGGGGAGCTTCTTCAAACCCACAGTAAAAGTTGTTTAATCCTACCTGGATTCTGTTAAGAATTCCTTTATTATTTTGTTATACTTTAAGGCCTAGACAAAACTGGTGATGGGCTTTTGTTATATCCCAGCCTTTGTATAAGAACACTGTCTTAATTTACTATGCTTTAAGTTCTGGGATACATGTGCAGAATGCGCACGTTTGTTACGTAGGTATACATGTGCCATAGTGGTTTGCTGCACCCATCAGCCTGTCATCTAGGTTTTCAGCCCCGCATGCATTAGGTATTTGTCCTGATGCTCTCCCTCCCTTTGTCCCCCACTGCCCGACAGGCCCTGGTGTGTCATGTTCCCCTCCCTGTGTCCATGCGTTCTGATTGTTAAACTCCCGCTTATGAGCGAGAACATGTGGTGTTTATCTGTTTCTGGAGCACTGGCTTTTAATACTTACCCACTCAGTCGGTACTGAAACAGTTCTTATGGCGGCTTGCGTTAGTGAGACCTGGCCTGCCACACAGTGGCGTGATCTTGGCTCACTGCAACCTCTGCCTCCCGAGTTCAAGCAATCCTCATGCCTCAGCCTCCTGAGTAGCTGAGATTACTGGCATGCACCACCACATCTGGCTAATTTTTTTTTTTTTTTTCATTTTTCGTAGAGATGGGGTTTAGCCATGTTGGCCAGGCTGGTCTCAAACTCCTGGCTGCAAGTGGTCTGCCTACTTGAGGTCCTCAGCCTCCCAAAATGCTGGATTACAGGCATGGGCCACCGGACCTGGCCCCATCTGCTGTTGATGGTGTTACTACACTGAACTTGGGTCCACTTGCCTGGTACAGAAAGCTAAACATTGACGCTGAGATTTGCAGAGAGAGAAAGAAAGATTATTTATTGTAGGGTGCCAAGCAAAGAGAGTTGGGGAGCTAAAGCTTGAGACCTGGGCTTGCAGAAGGCTTACATGTAAGGGTTTTTAAAGGCAGGGAGACGGAGGTTACAGGCAAAGTCATAAGTCAACACGTGGAGGCCATACATGGGTTTGGCCCCAAAAGGCAAGCTGTCTTGAAGCGAGGGCTTAGGGTCATAGGTGGATTCAGAGATTCTTTATGCAGCTGGTTAAGGAAGTGAAGCTTTGGCTGAAATCTGAGGTCAGCAGAAAGGCATGGTAAAGTTTGGTCTGTGAGAATGATTCTCCCCAGACTTCTTGGAGGAAATTTAGAACAAAGACTTGTGGTCATGTTAGAGCAGGCAGATAGCCAGACATGAGCAGGAGAGCAGAGCCCCTGAGAAAAGGGAAGCCTGGAAAATCTCATGCCCCAGGGACCACCTGAGACAGGAATGATAGTTACAAGCAGAGAGGAGGGGAAATACCTATACAGGAAGGCACGTCCATTAAGATGCCCAGAAATCTAATCATTCACTCTGCAGTTAATGTGTCAGAATGTAGGTAGATGCATGCTAAGGGGAAGAAGCAGAGAAGCCAATTCTTAAGTGATGACACAGGTGCTGTAAGTGTAGATCTGACCACTCTCCAGCCTTCCTGGGGTGGTGGTAATGAGCAATGCAGCCATCAAATAGGATTTGTATCCAACACCAGACCCACACATGTGCACCAACTAATGGTAAGAGAGGGTCCCGCAAGCCTCGGGTGGGAACTTGGTCAGGGAAAGGATGGAGACTTAAGGCAGAAGTAGGAAAACTAGACAAGGAAAACAGCAGAGGCTTAAGGCAGAGGCAGGAACTTCAGAAAAGAGTCTAACAGCATAAAAACCCAGTGCGGGACTCTCAAGCTGCTGCTGGCTCACTCCCCTCAGCAGCCAACTCGGCCTCATCTTTGCAGAGTGCACCTCCCCTTAAATACTAACTGTCTGCTTTCTAGTCTCCTTCAGTAAATCAGTCACTTGGCAGAGCGCTTTCTCCAAGTAAGACAAAAAATCGAGGATTCCTGCACTTCCTGGTAACAGTTGGAGTTCAGTCCTTCCTTTCCCCTTATCTGACAGTGGTTGGCATTTTCCGTCTGGTGGGGGTCTGGGTTTCTGAAAAAACAACTCAAAGACATATGTCAAGGTGTTGTCTTTGGTTTCTACAGGGAACCACACACCTGTAACTCTAGCTCACTGGAGTAGATACTGTTTAAGCTGTGATTACCTGCTTGCTTCTCAGGTTGTTCATTCACTTCTCAAGCCTAGATAGGTACCTGGAATTTCCCTGGAAGGGACTCAAGAATTTTCTTTTATTCCCATGCTTTGGGGGCCTGGAAGGCCTCTAAGGGGGGTTCCTTCTCTGTCCCAGTGGAAAATTGGCTTGTCTCCTATTTATGAATAAAATTTCTTTGAAGGGTCTTTTTTTTTTTTTTTTTTTGAGACGGAGTCTTGCAATTGTCACCGAGGCTGGAGTGCAGTGGCCTGATCTTGGCTCACTGCAGACTCTGCCTCCTGAGTTCAAGCAATTCTTTTGCCTCAGCTGGGATTACTGTTGGGACTATAGGCGCCTACCACCACACTCACACACCACCATGCTCGGCTAATTTTTGTACTTTTACTAGAGACAGGTTTCACTGTGTGGGCCAGGCTGGTCTCGAGCTCCTGACCTCAGGTGATCCGCCTACCTTGGCCTCCCAAAGTGCTGGGATTATCACCGCGCCTGGTCTGAAGGGTCTTTTACATGACCATTGATGAACCAACTCTGAAGCAGAATTGCTGGCTCATAAGGTATGAGGGATTATCTTAATTTATATTCCTGCCAGCAGTGTATAACAGTTTCAGTGATGCCATGTTTTTGCTAAAATTTGATATTGTCAGTTCCTTTAATTTCACCTTGACTGGGGGTATGGTGGTATGTTGTGATTTACATTTTTCTTAGGAAGAATGATGTTGGCCACATTTTCATGTGCTCATTGGCCATCTAGATATCCTTTTTTATAACACATACATCTTTTGCTATTTTTTTTCCCATGGATTGACTGTTTTTAAAATTAATCAGGTGTAGGAGTTCTTTATATATTCTGGGTACAAGTTTCATGCTAGATTTATGTAATGCAAATGTCTTCTAGTCTGTGGCTTATCTCTGAAGGAGATAAAAATATGACACTCTGGAATAATGACTATTTTGAGTTAAAGGCACTTGAAAGCCAGAGGTGCAAGATCACTCTGCCCTTCCTTCTGTCTCTGAAGAGCAGGAGATAAAATTCTCATGTGAAAGGCCTTCTGCCTATACCAGAAGGACAGCACCAGTCTTATATTTGGGGACAGGAAGTTGAGACTGAGGGAAAGCTGCAGAAATAAACCTTGCTAGACCCACCCTCAGCTTCCCAGGCAGTTCTCCACCAATTAACTCCCTTTGCTCAAACCTTTGCCTGCTCACATTTTCATAACTTACCACTCTTGGTCTAATTCAATACATAAGCACTCACCTCTAACTGCATTTTGGGTCTTTACTTTCTGCTGAAGGCTCCTGTGCCATGTAAAATTTGTATTAAGTGACTTTGTATGCTTTATTCCATTGATCTGTCTTGTGTCAATTTAATTCTCAGACCCAGCTGAAAAACCCTAAAAGGGTAGAAGTAAAAGCTTTCCTTTTTTTTTTTAACATCTTTTTATTGTTTTAGTGAAGCCGTTGGTAAACAGAAGCTCTCAATTTTAGTAAAGTCTAAATTTATTTTTATTTTTTTGTGTGTGTCCTTTTAAGAAATCTTTGCCTATCCTAAATTTATAAAGATATTCTCCTGAATTTTGCTCTAGAAACTGTAGTGTTTCACTTTTCATGTTTATGATATATCACAAATTCATTTTTGTAGGAGAGGGGTCAAGATTTATTTTTTCCCATGTGAGTATATAATTTTTCCAGCGTAATTTCTTGAAAAGATCACTCTTTTCCCCCACGGAACTGTAGTAGCATATTTCTCATAAATGAAATGACTGTATTTATGTGGGCCTTTTTCTGGGATTAAAAAACGTTCTGTTCCACTGGTCTCTATCTCTGTCCTTATGTGAGTACTACCCTGGTTTTATTACTGCGATTTGATAGCAAGCCTTGAAATCTTATAGCGTATGTTTTTCACCCTTTTCTTCTACTTCAAAATTGTTAGAGTTATCAAAGGTCTTTGCGTTTCCAGATTAATTTTTGAATCACATACCAATTTACACTCATGCACACACGCCTAACAGATGGGATTTTGATTGAGATTGGCTTGTATTTATCAATTGCTTGCAGAGAACTGATCTTTTAACAACATTGAGTCCTCCCCGCCCGTGGACATGGTGCAGTTGGTCTGTTTGTTAAGGTCATCTTTATTTTTCCTAACAATGCTTTGCCGAGTTCCATGTTAGAGGCTGGACCTCTCCCATTGCATTTATTCAGTGAGTGTGCTGGTGGACCTGCCCTGGGGAGAGAAGCCCCAGCATTTAGCACTTGTTGAGCTCTCTGGTGGAAAAAGACCCAACGTGACTGATTTCAAGCTAACGATGTGCTCTTCATGAACACGCAGTTGAAGAGAGGCGCAGGACCCCCAACATGGCCCCGAGCTTTCCTGCCCCCCCACACACTGTACACATCCGATACCCGCCCCGGGCTGTGAAGATGATGGATTTTACTCCTGTGATTAGGCTGACATGTGGCATAGCTGACCTTAAGATAAGGATATTATCTGAGTGGGCCTCACCAAATCACATGAACCCCTTAAAAGCAGGAAGTCTCTGACTGGTTGCAGAAGGGGAAATAAGAGAGATTCAAAGCACGAGAAGCATTTCACTTGGGGGAGGTTCTCTGCTGCTGCGATGGCAGGGCTGCATGGCGGGGACAGGGCGTGCTCTCTAGGAAGCGACAGTGGTCCCCAGCCCACAACTAGCAAGAGCATGGGGACCTCGTCCCACAGCAGCAAGTAGGTGACTTGTGCCAACACCAGTGAGTGTGGAAGGTGACCCTGAGCTCCAGATAGAACTACAGCCCTGGTGAGACCCAAGCAGAGAATCCAGCCATTCCATGCCTGGACTTCACCTGCAGAAACTGTGAGCAGTACATTACTGTTTGAAGCCACCAAGCTGTGGTAACTGGCATGTAGCGATAACAAACTGATACACATTTTGGTACTGAGAGAGTGGGGCTGCTGTAACAAGCACCTAAAGCGTGGGTGTGGGAGGGAGCGCCCGGTTCCAGGAAGGTGGAGTAACCCTGTTTCTCCCTTGTCCTCTCCCTTATAACTAAAAATCCCTGGACATCAAACAACAAATGACTGCAGAGGTCTCAGAAAGGTGGAAAGAAGAAGGCAGGCCTTGAGACCTCAGGGCACGAGATGGACCCAGTGGGGAGCCCGGGCTTCCCTCTTCCCGGGCCTCCCACACATGCTTGCAGTGCACTGCAGAGCTGCCAACAGGCTCAGACCAACCTGCTCCAGGAAATGCCTCCTGGCCAAAGGGCTGGGAAAAGGAGGGGCTAAGAACAGAATCTTTCTTGGCAATACCTTTCCTACTCCAGCCAAACACCAGTGAAAACAGCCCTCCGCTTTGCAGTGGCGCTGATCGGTGGAACCAGTGATGCTGCAGCTGCCCTGCCAGGGATGCGTGAAAAGGGCCCCGGGCAAGCTGAGCCCCACCTCCACCCAGTGGCAATGGAGCTGAAGGGCATCAGAATATTCTACCTGAGAACATGCCATTTGGGCAGCGAGATTATGTTGAGCTGAAGGCAGTTGAGAAACACAGAGGTAGGAAAAGCTCTCTACCCTTCACCCCCTCAATTTCTGCCTAAAGGCAGGGCATAAATTTCCCTCTGTGCCCGTGTCTCCCTTCCCGCTCCCATACCAGGAGGACAAAGCAACCTTGATCACTGGAGGCAGAAAGCGGGCATGGGTTGGGTCTGCACATACAAACCGCACTAATATAATCCTTATCTGCCCCGGCTGCCCCCAGGTATTTATCTTCTCTGCCCCTAGAAACCCAAATCCTTTTTTCTTCCTCTTGTCACTTCTCTGAAGATTTATTTCCCTTTGTTAAGATGGTTTTCTAAGCCCCAAATTCTAACCATCTCATTGAGTTACTTAAATTTAGCACCCCGATGTGCATGTGTTGCAAGCATAAATAAACTGGTTTTTTTTTATTCTGTTGATTTTAAAAAATCAGTTAGATTTGCAAGCCCTAGCCACTGAATCCAAGAAAGAAGAGAAAAAGGTTTTTCCTCCCTTACAAAACTTTACAAGGTAGTGAGAATGGGATTAGTCTCCACTCTCACCTGGCACCAAGGAGGTGGAAAAGGGGGTGGGGAACAGGGCTAGCTGGGGCTCGGCTTTACCGTTTCTTCCCTGGTTTCAGCAGGCTCACCTCAGCTCCTGACTCTACCTTGCAGCGGCAAAGCGTGTGAGTCCTTCCCCTCTCTTTTCCCCTGGTGGCAGTGGGGCCCCACAGGGAGCTAGCTGATCACACATCAGCACTCAGAAGCGATGAGCATGTACAAGTTGGTGCCCCAGGAAAGTGTTCATGGACATAGAGGGAGGAGCTAAACTTCCAGCTCACTCACCCACAAGGGTCAGCGTGAGTCACAGCCCCACTTCTGTGGGGCTGCTGTGAGTGAGTTCGGCGTGAAGCTGATGATACATACCCCAGTCCTTGCACTGTTCGTCAACAGCAGGACTTAAAAAGGGGAAGGCTAGACAGGATCCAGAGTCTCACGATATAATGTCCCATATGTCCAGATTACAATGGACCCAAGAAAACTACAGCAGGAATGAGAAAAAGCAATCAACAGATGACGGTACTGAGGAAGATCAGGTGTTGGAGCCTCTGGCATGGATTTTACAGTGGTCATCATAAAGAGGCTTCAACAAACAACTGTGAATTCTCTGGAAACAAATGAAAAAGTAGAAAATCTCAGCAATGTAAAAGAAGTTATAAAGAGAAGCAAAATGGAAATAATAGAACTAAAAAATATGCTAACTGAAATAAAAAACCTTACTGGATAGGCTCAAGAGTAGAGTAAAAAAACAGAAGACAGAATCAGAAAACGAGGAAATAGAGGATTTGAACATAAATGCTATAAAACCAACTAGATCTGACAGATATCTATAGAACTGTCCACCCAATAGCAGACAGCACATTGCTGTTTGTTTGTTTGTTTTTTGAGAGAGTCTTGCTCTGCTATCTAAGCCTGAGTGCACTGGCGTGATCTCAGCTCACTGCAACCTCCACCTGCAGGGTTCAAATGATTCTCCTGCCTCAGCCTCCCAAGTAGCTGGGGCTACAGGCATGCACCACCACGCCTGACTGATTTTTGTATTTTTGGTAGAGACAGGGTTTGTTATGTTGGCCAGGCTGGTCTCTGACTCCTGACCTCAGGTGATCTGCCCGCCTCAGTCTCCAAAAGTGCTAGGATTACAGGCACGAGCCACCATAATTGGCCTGTTTT